CAAAAACCCTACCACAAGCATCCGCGAACCATCACCGCGGCATTTGCCAAGACAAAAACCTTACCACGAGCACCTGCGAGCCATCACCACAGTATTTGCGAAGACAAAAACCCTACCACAAGCATCCGCGAACCATCACCGCGGCATTTGCCAAGACAAAAACCTTACCACGAGCACCTGCGAGCCATCACCACAGTATTTGCAAAGACAAAAACCCTACCACAAGCATCCGCAAAACATCAGCGCGGTAGTTGCCAAGACAAAAACCTTACCACGAGCACCTGCGAGCCATCACCACGGCATTGCCCAGACAAAAACCCTACCACAAGCATCCGCGAACCATCACCGCGGCATTTGCCAAGACAAACACCTTACCACGAGCACCTGCGAGCATTTGTTAAAATAAAAACCCTACCACAAGCATCCACGAACCATCGCCGCGGCATTTGCCAAGACAAAAGCCTTACCACGAGCACCTGCGAGCCATCACCACAGTATTTGCCAAGACAAAAACCCTACCACAAGCATCCGCGAACCATCACCGCGGGCATTTGCCAAGACAAAAACCCTTACCACGAGCACCCGCGAGCCATCACGACAGTATTCGCGAAGACAAAAACCCTACCACAAGCATCCGCGAACCATCACCCCGGCATTTGCCAAGATAAAAACCTTACCACGAGCACCTGCGAGCCATCACCACAGTATTTGCGAAGACAAAAACGCTACCAGGCATCCGCGAACCATCACCGCGGCATTTGCCAAGACAAAAACCTCACCACGAGCACCTGCGAGCCATCACCACAGTATTTGCGAAGACGAAAACCCTACCACAAGCATCCGCGAACCATCACCGCGGCATTTGCCAAGACTAAAACCTTACCACGAGCACCTGCGAGCCATCACCACAGTATTTGCGAACGCAAAAACCCTACCACAAGCATCCGCGAACCATCACCGCGGCATTTGCCAAGACAAAAACCTTACCACGAGCACCTGCGAGCCATCACCACCGTACTTGCGAAGACAAAAACCCTACCACAAGCATCCGCGACCCATCACCGCTGGGTGTAGCATTAGGTCTCTTGCGTGGTTCATTTGAAAGGATTGAAACGATGTAGTGCACTGAAAGTGTTTAAATCATTCAACTAACAACACTCGTTGTCCTTTTTCTTTGCCCTGGCTGTTTCGCATAGTGTAATGGAATAGAAGCATGCTTCTGTTCCTTCGTTACCTTGTATTATCCCAGAGCAACAAAGACAAGAAAGACAAAGACACCGAGGAAGTCGCGTGTCTTCCGCAAAAAGCCTTAATCAACACCGGTGGACCCCACAAACTACCTCTCCGGACCCTACCCCAAACTCCCCAAACTCCCTAAACTACTACAGAGCCTGGAGAGTTTAGGGAGTTTATGGAACTCCCTAAACTCCCTCCCGAATCCCTCCTCGCAGACCCACCAAACCCAAACTCCCTAAATAGAAAGTTTAAGGAGTTTAGGGAGTTTAGAATTTGGGGGGTTGGGGTGGTCGCCCCCCTCCGCGCAGGTCCCCCAACTCCGCAAACTCAACTCCCTAAATAGAGAGCTTAGGGAGATTAGGGAGTTTGAGGGGTCAGGGGTGGTCGCCCAAACTCCCTAAACTCCCTCCGAACCCCTCCCCGCAGATCCCGCAAACTCCCCAAACTCCCCAAATAGAGGGCAGGGTCTTGGCCCAAACTATCCAAATTATCTAAACCCTCTCGGCTCCAGACCACCGGGACCTCCCCAAACTCTCTAAACTATCTAAATTATTTAAACTATCGAAACCCTCCCGGCTTAAATGGCTTGGGGAGGTTTCGCTGGTCTTGGGCTGGCAGGGGTTTAGATAGTTTAGATAGTTTGGGGCGGTCCCGCTGGTCTGGGGCGGGAAGGTTAAGATAGTTTGGATCGTTTGGGCCAAGACCCGGACCACCCAAGCTGTCTAAACTATGTACATCTTTGTCCTCCTGCCTTGGCAGGTACGTCACGTGATACAGAAAAGTTCTTCAGACGCATATGTGTATATATGTGTGTATATTCACTTGCGTATTTATCTATTTGCCAATATCTTTCTCTCTCTCTCTCTCTCTCTCTCTCTCACTCTGTCTCTCTCTCTTGCTGTCTGTCTTTTTTAGGCTTTCTTTCGTACAAGTACTTTCTTTCTAGCCGTATATCCTCTCATTCCTTCTTTCTGTCCTTACATTGTGATTTTAGTCGCTCTTTCGTTCTTTCCTTCTTCGCATTTTTGCTGGTTTGCCTGTTTAGCTGTTTGTTTGGTTCTTTCTGCTTTTATTTCTGTCCTGTTGGTTCGTTGGTTCGTTCGTTCTTTCTTCTGCCCGTCCTTCGTGTGATCCTTTCGTATGTCTTTCCGTTGTGCTTCTGTCTTTCTTGCTTTGTGTCTTTCTTTCCTTCCTTTCATCCTTGCGCGTGCCTTTCCTGCCTCCTCCGTCACCCAAAACAAAACTACAATAAAAATAACCGAAAAAACGCACACCCTCCTACTGTAGCTTTGTTGGTATTGTGATTATTAGTAGGCGTCGTCGTCGTAGCAGTAGTAGTAGCCGCAGAAGTAGAAGCAATAGCAGTAGTGGCAGTCATCGTCGTTGTGGGCCTCAGAACTCATTTGGTGTTTCGGAGCAGCATGAAACCAGAAGGGCGGGCAGGCGAAAAGCGGAGCAAGACGGGCGGAAAAGATGAGGGTGGAAAAAACTCACGCGGAAGAACAGAACAATGGAGCAGAATAGCGAAGCATACAAGCAAATAAGCTGGAAAAGCAAATGCGCAACCAAGCGGAATGCAGAAAGGCAAAAGGACAAACAGGCAGAAACTATACAAGCAAACACTGGCAGAAGGCAGAAAGAAAAGCCGAAACAAGCAGAAAAGCGGAGGAACGGAAGAGCGAAGCAGACAAGTAGAGAAGCGAGTGATCGAACTCGATGGCGCAGTGTCAATATCAGATATATCAGAACATCTGCAGCTGCTGACACCAAACAACAAGCAACCACAAGGTGTGTTGACTGCTGCCTTCTGTGAGAGAGTGTCGGGGTACCGCCCTTGCGCCGAATCCCCGAAGGGCTCCCGCGCAGAGCCAACACTCGTCCGAAACTTCACAGACAAGCTGCGGTCAAAACACTGTGGGATTCAGAGCTAATGGGGCTGCGGCCAAAGGATGGCAGCTCAATCAAGTGCATACCTCGCCTGCACAGACACCGCAAGCTCCAGGATTCAGTGCAGCCAACGACATGACAAAGCATGATATTATTGACAAACGCCTGCCCAGATGCCCGGAAGCTCCAGGTTTCAGCGCAGCCAACGATAGGAACAAACACACAAAGGACATAAAAGGTCTGTCAGCATGTCATTAACAGACGCCTGCACAGATGCCCGCAAGCTCCGGGATTCCGCGCAGCCAATGACATGACAAAACATGACAAAGACCAACCATTGACATGTACAAGCTTCACGAGACCAAAATCGTTAAACCTGACATGTAAGAAATTGTACAGACAGCATGAAGCAGATGAGGGTTCAGCGCACAGAGCTTTCCAGCTCCACATGTGCTTTGTATGGCTTCCCCCCCCCAAAAAAATGAAGACACAGATGACGCAAAAAAGAAAGACACAGATTACCCAAAAACTTGGGTACGTGGAGCCATTCCTTGGGACATCAGACCTACAAAGAGAAAAAAAGACACAGATAACGCAGAAAAAAAAGACACAGATAACGCGAAAAAAAGAGACACAGATCACCCCCTTACCAAACAAACGGGCGCACCAGAAGGCAAGGACAAACAAGCCGGCCTGCTGCGGATGTCCCACGTCGTAGTCTGGAAAAACAGTATCGTGCTGTAGGACCTGCAGGCGTGTTCCGAGACGACTCTGGGTGCTGAGGTGGGCACACGAAGAGTAAGCATGCATCTCTGCGCAGGCTGGTTAGTTAGAAACGAATCATCTGGGAACATTCCGCAAAGGGTCTCAGCACTTTCCCCGCTGCACAACTACGACATGCCCTGTTCATAGCAGCAGTCTGTGACAAAGAGCTTTGGGGAAACTTGCCTCAGCACTCCGAGTCCGTAAGATCACGGTAGACGGTCGCCTCCTGCTCTTCAGGACTCTCAGTGCCAAGATCGCCGAGCACGGCGCAGCTACACTCAGACCCTCCACGAAACAGAGACTGACGTAAAGCCTGGACCCGAAGCCGGCATTTGCGGATGCGCCCCCACCATCAGAGGCTCGCAGATTTCAAGAGATCAGACTGAGACTCCGGGCCGCCGCCAGGCTGCGAGGAGCGCTGCGAGGAGAGCGCCTGGCCCTCGCCGCCGCCGGCTGGGGCCTTCCGCCAAAAGCGCCAAACCGCCAACCGCAACTCGCCGACAACGCCGAGTGCGGTGCGGTGCTGTGCTGCTCTGCTAAGCGGCCCGCGCCGCATCGGCTGAGGCGAGAGTGCCAACTCCTGAACCATTGCATCTGTATCAGCCTATCAGCATGTCCAACACCGCATTTGCAGCCAGGCTGTCAGGATCTACGAGCAAGAGAGAGAGAGAGAGCTGGAGTTCTCACCCAGCCTGGAGCTTGGAGCAAGATTTAGAGCTGCAATTCTGCTGGCACCCACATGTCAAAGCTGGGCCTGCTTTCAGAAACTGCATGAAATCAAAGAGCCTCCAGATGAGGGGTAAGTCCAAGTTCAAAGCAGCTCAGCTGTCCAAAGACATGCATGGACCCTAGCCAACTCGTCCAATAAGGCTTTCACTGCAAGCTGTGCCAGAACATGATTGCAAAAGTTATTGTGCAAACATCTGTTGGCATTGAGGAACACTTTGCAAGGGGAGGGACTTTGAAGCACAAGGGCCCCGGGGCCGTTGCTGCATCTGAGTAATAACCGCACAGTGACGCTGAACCCTTGCGACCTGAGAGCTTTCGCGGGCCTCTGCTAGTGAGTGCTATGGATTAGAGCGCAGGCTTTCGGTAAAGTGCGCCCACAGCGCCTACAAGGCATTCCCCTTCTGTCTGACACTGAGTTGTTCAGAGAAGCCCACCTGAAACACGACATTCCTGACAAGAATACAAGCACCGTCCTCGCTTTGCCTTGCCCTGAAACTGGCCGCGACCATGAAGCAGACAGTTGAACTCCCATTTTTTGTTTTTCTCTGTGCAGGTCTGCGGTCCATCCGTGGCGCTGCTCCAAAGATCAGCCGCGCAGGCGCAGCGGGTGTGAGTGTGAAGGAGTAGGCCTCAGTTGGGGAAAGCCGCATGTTGGAGGTGGTTCTCTCAGCTCGAACATCACCACCTTCATGCACCACTAGCAATTAGCAACGCTCTTGGCCAGACGCTGAGGAAGACTCTCACCCCAACACGAGACGTCTGGTGAAAATGGCCCCGAAACCAGGGACAGCTCTGCAACAATCTGGGGAACCTCTGGCTATGGAGAACTACACCAGCATAATCCTTCCCTACTGTACCCGGACCTCCGAGAGGTCCAAATTACCAGCGGGACGCCACTGAAGGGCCATGAGGAGTTCCTGGGCACACGGAAGCTCACGCACAGGCAAGAGCTCTGGCAATGCAGTTGCGTAGCGAACGTACCAAAAACAAAAAGCACCACAGACCCACGACCTGAACACCATCTTGCCCGGCTAGGCCTGTAGGCCTGAGAAGAAATCCGCACCGCATTGCCCCAAAGATCGGGTAACTGCGACTCCCTAAACCCTAAAACACACAACCTCAAACCTCGGCAAACACGGAAACCGAAACTCTGAAAAGTGGCCTTAAGCCTCTGTAAGGAACCCTCGAAGACAGCGAGGAGTCGGCGGCAAACAGCCGCAGCTGCTCCACTGCCAGCGTCGCGCCCGGACAGAAGCGGGCTCCCACACCGAAGGGCAGGTATCTGAGCGCAAACGAACTATGTCGGGGTTCGGGAATGGTTGAGGAGAGACTTGGAGAAAAGATTCTGCCATAAGAGTTTCAATATTCAGCGGCAATACGCTGTATCTTTTCTCCACAACAACCCGAACAAGAAGATAACATGTGTATCTTGATACACGTATGCATGTGTGCATGAGTATATACATATATATATATATATATATATATATATATATGTATGTATATACATATATACATATATACATATATACATATATACATATATACATATATACATATATACATATATACATATATACATATATACATATATACATATATACATATACATATATATATATATATATATATACATATGTATATGTTATGGATGTAATATATAGATATTATATAGATATTATACAGAGATTATATAGAGATTATATAGATACTATGCACACATATCTAACCGCACCCGAATCTCTGAAGCTAGTACTTAAAAAGTCCCAAAGATTGCAGGCTGAGGTGCTTGAAGGGTGTGGAGCTGGAGTCCCAGCCTTGAGCGAAGGGGCACTTCGGCTTCAATTCCGGCCGCGCCTGCGTCGCTCAGCCAGGGGTGACACTTAAAACGGCCGCCCTCTGTCCTAGACTGGTAACAGATACAAATTTGAAGGATAACCATGGGATGCTTTCACTTTTCTTACTACCTGAGATTGGCCTGTCTTAAACCTTGATGAGAACCAGCTCTTCATCGAACGGGTGGCAGGGAAGTTCTTTGCTCAGGATGCCCCTTTTCACGGGCTGTGGTGTTGTTGGGGCCTGAGCTTTAAGCTTGGGGACTTCGAGCCTTCTCAAGGCTTATACGTAAGCTTCTAAGTATAGGGTTTAAGTGGGTTTAGGGTCGCGGGGGTTTCGAAGTGGAAGGCTCTGGCTGTAAATGCAGGGTTAAGGTTCCAAGTTGAGGGCTCAGGATTCGGGCTTACGGCAAGGGCCTCGGGATCCCATGGTTTTCTCTTGATGCTTCGGCCAGGGAGGGATGGCAACTCGATGTTGGTAAACCTTACATGTTTTGCAGTACGAAAAGTCCGCCCTCCCCCCCAACAAAAAAAAAAACTGCTGCTGTTGTTCTTAATTCCTTGTTGTGGTTGTTGTTGTTGTCGTTGTCGTTGTCGCTGTTGTTGTCGTTGTCGTTGTCGCTGTCGTCGTGACGGCGGTTGTTTGCTGCTGCTGTTGTTGCTGCTATTCCTTTTGCTGCTGCTGCTGCTGTTGTTGCTGTTGTTGTTGCTGTTGTTATTGCGGCTGTTGTTGTTGGTGCCGTTGCTGCCGTTCTCCTCCTGATCCCCCATCACTTCAGATGACACACTTTTGAGGTGGGGGGGGTGTAGGAGCTTTCTGGCAGTAGTGGGGCCCCTGTTGTGAGAGAGGCCAGTCTGCAGTGGTAGCAGGCTTTCCCCTGCAGTAGGGACTATTTCTGCTGGAGTATGGGCCTGCGTGGCGTGCGTTGCGAGTCGTATTTCACCGCCGCTCAACTAAACTTCTTTAACCGTTGTGCGCCCTTGGCAAAGTGTTGCATCGGCCGCAGCACCTTTAGAAGAACATAGAAGAACATGTGCATATAAACACATGGCATGGTACCTTCGGTGCATCGGGGCCAAGGAAACGTTCGGGTCGGAATTCATTCGGAGCCTCCCACGCTGACGGATCATGTGCCTGAGCTGGCAAGTCGTGATTGAACGGTCGTCAGAAGCTTGCGACACCGGGCTACGGCTACGGCGGCTAATGTACGGTGGCCGCAAGGCTCAAACACCACGGTGCCAACAGACCACACGCAAGACACAAGTCTCATTGCAGGTGAAGTAAGTCTTGCTTGCCCATTCAAAGCTTGGTGAAGTACTACGTCGCGTGCGGAGAGCCAGGTCTAACTCAGCCGAAGTGCCAATTTGTAGGAGTCCGGCAGAAGGAGGGTTCCTTCGGGCAGTTGGAAGCCCGAAACCTCGACTTGCTTGAGGCACTTCCGCGGCACGAAGAGCGGAGTCTTCAAGCGCAGCGTCTCCAGAATGCAAGCTTCCAGATACGGCGTCTCTCTGCCTCCCTGGCAAACATCCGCCCGAGCTTTGCCTTGTGCAACTTCATCCCGAGCCAGCAGCAAGAGCAGCCACTCGAGGGCTGTCGCGACCGTGCTGATGCCAGCAGTGGTAAGCGACACCAGGGTCTCAACAATCAGGTCCTCCCCGAAGCCGTGCTTCTTTTGAGATCGGAGCAGAGCCTCCAAGAAATCCCCCCGCTGCTCCCGTTCTGCATTTCGCCGTCTTTCGGTGATCAAAGATCGCAGAAGCCGTGTGCGCTCCCGGCGAAGCTCCGGCAAGCGGTCCAGGACCCCCGGGGCTGCAACGCCCACGAAGTCGCTGGCTGTGACGACGGGGTCAGTCAGCGTCGCCTCACAACGGATTCGCTTCAACCATGGGCTTGCCATCAACCCAAAACGGCAAGCTGCGAGCTGGCCGGGCCAGGCTAAGAATCTTCGGGCGCGCGGCCCAGGCGTCTTCGATAAGACTCTCCAGCTCCTTGGCCTGAAGGTTCGCGCAAAAGACCCCTAAAGCTGAAAACTCTATCTCATGCGAGCAGGCTTTCGGTTCCATGCTAGCTGAGAGATGGCACAAAGATTCTTGAAGCACTCATGATCCTGAAAACACTCCTCAGAATGGAATAATAGTTGGATTGATGGACTGTCACTTTCAGCTCTCTTTGAACAGCAAACCTCAGAAACATGACAGAGCTCTGGAGATCTCTCTCTCTCTCTCTCTCTTGCTCTGCTCCCCTTTCGGCGCTGCCGGGCCTCCGGCCGAGAGGCAGAGTCCAAGCCCAGCGCCCAGCGCAGCAAAAGCGACGTCAGCGCCGTTCGCAGCTGGCACCGCACCTCTGCGGGCTGCGGAGCTGCGAGCTGGGGGCATCTCTCTAAACCTATTGCGGCGTAACAAAAAAAAGGCGGGCTCCGCAGCGGAGGATGCTGTACGTAAACCAGGTGCCGACCTCCGCGACTGTGCCAGCTTCGGCCGCCAGTGCCCGGACCAGCCTCTGGCACTTTTGCACTTTCGGGCATGGCTTTAGCCGCTCTTTAAACTGCAGGAAAAGGCCAAGCCGCAGAAGCCGAGCACCACCACCTAAACCTGAAGACTGGTTCAGCAAAAAAGTAGCTATAGCTGCAAATCAGTTCGCATCATATATTGAGTTCTCTTCCGCAAGAGCACACGCCTGCTTGTACGCAGCTATGGATATGTATCGTTGCCGTTTCTGTCTGTCATCTGTGCACCTGTATTTCTGCGGTTGCTCTCACTGCTTCTATCATCGCCATTATGGCTCGTACTCATAACTAGCGTTACTCGCAGTAGGCTTTTCATTGCGATGCTGATTCTGAATGTTGCTACGTTTCTAAATTGCTGCAAGCCTCACCAATGATGATTCGTAAATGCTATTGTTGCTGATTCTTTGCTGTTGCTATACCACTACTGCTCTTGGCATTCTCACTGGTCCGTATTTCTGCTGATGCTGCTTTTTTATACACCCACCCACCCACCCACAGACACGCGTGCACTAAACTTCCCTCTATACCAGCGGAGGACGCGCACCTTTGCGCTTCCCGGCGGATCGCAGGCCGGGCCCGGGCCACTGCAGGCGGGGCGAAGGCCTCCTGAGGCGGCAGCGCTTTCTGCAGCGCGAGGAGTCTGGGATGGACAGACGCAGAAAAGTCATCTCCAAGAGAGAGATCGGAGCAGAAGAGAGGCCCTTTCACCCAAAAAACCTCAAGTGCCAGAAACCCTCGTGCTGGCCCCTGCCTCTCTGAACTGTCAAGGCCACATCCCCGAGCCGCGGTCCTGAAGGAGCACGGCACGCATCTGGCGCCAGGCATCATCTGGCTGAGCTGTCGAGAGACCTGCGACAGTCATAAAGCGAAAGCCACCTTGGGAAGAATGGCATGGCAAGCCGCTGATGACGTTCATGATGAGGGTGATACTCATTTAGCTGCTGCCAACCGCGGTGGTAATGGACAGATATTTGTCACAAGGGACATGTCCTGGCATCTCTTCCTGACCTGTTCTCCTCAATACAAGGCACAAGCAAGTACCAGCGATTGAATGAAACCGACATCCTACCAAACCAATGAAAGCAGAATACCACACCCGACACCCCCCAAAGCCCTAAACCCAAACACTGGGACACAAGCATCGAAGCCCAAGCCCTAAACTCCTAAACCTTAAAAGCCTCTGAAACCCAAAGCCCAAGCCCGTAGTCCTAGACCCGAAAACACCCCTAGACTCATAAGCCTTGAGATAAGCCATTGATTCGAACCGAAGGCAGCGACGGTCGCCCAGCAGTTGCCATCGGCTCTGTACAGAGCGCCTCCTAGAAGGGGTTTTGGGTTTAGGACGGCGTAGAGTTTTGCAGGACTCAGAGTGTCGGACTTGAGTTGTTTGGAATCTTATCACATTCTTCGAACTGTTAACACGCTCAATCTCTCTCTCTCTCTCTCTCTCTCTCTCTCTCTCTCTCTCTATCTCTCTCAAATGTTGACCAGGATTTACTGCAGTCTCTCTGCGGTTTACTGGTTTCCGTTAGCGGGCTGTAGATTTCGGGTATTACCGGCGAATGTGGACAAAGGCTCCATAGTATCGAAACCCAAACTGCTGTTGTTCGACGACCGCCTGTGTGTCTTCGATGGACGAGACGGGACAAAGCACAACCGGGATGGGACACGGGACGGCAAGGCACGGGAGGGCATGGGAAAGGCCGGGATGTGTCGACGTCATTTCTCAGTGTCATCTGTCGATGTCACAAGGCTTCTTTCGATGTCCGCGCATCGTTTTTGCATGTCCGAGTTCGGAACCCTGCGCTTGTAGGACCTATCACAACCTGCATGATTCAATACTCATCAAAATACTGCTATTATTGGTGCCGCCGCTGCTGTTGCTGTTTCTTCTGCAATAGTAACGAGAATGATGCTGCTGCTGCTGCTACTACTACTACTACTGCTACTACTACTACTACTTCTTCTGCTACTGCTACTGCTACTGCTACCGCTACTGCTACTTCTAGTACTGTCGTTCTTTGCTGGGAGAAGCCACTGAAAGCTATTTGGTGTCTGACTTCAAGCTCCTCCACAGCGCCCGGTGACGACAGAACAGCTACGTCTGAAGTGCCGAAGCGCAGCAGCATCACGTCCTTGCTCAGCGAAGTGATGCAATCAAGCTAGGATAAGCACTGTACCTGACCACCAGGCCAACATCTGAGTATGAGATGAGATCATATTGGTTGATTTCAGATACTGCAAGGAAGCACTTTCTCTCAGGAAGCACGGTGCAGGATTCTCGGCTAACCGGCTAACCCAAGTCCCAGAACTGCACCTGCCCAGTCTTTTGCTTTGGCACGAAGCATGGGGCAACTGCTGATCTGGATAATGCATATTTTCTACTTCCATATATACATATATATATATATATATAGGTGTGTGTATATTTTTCAAATTCGTGCTCCATGCACATTCTTGCAGAAAGCCTGTGACGCTTATGCCGTCTCGACGTGACCTCAAGTTAGCATCATGCATCATTCTGGCGGAATCGGCTGCACGGCAGGTGTCCTACAATCTGGAAAACAGCCCAGCGTCGCCAAAATCATCAGCCAAACTCCCCATGATCTCATGTGGCTGCAAAGCTCCGGGCACCTTGCAAGAGGGAAGGCCGGGTTCCCAACACGCGAAGTCGTGGGAGCCGAGCCCTCCTGAATCTATTTGGCGATCGGTGGTCCAGCACGACAGCTCAAAGTCTTCGCAGCCAGGGCACACCCAGAGCTCCTAATCCAATCCTCAGCTCACCGCGAACTAGAGAAAGCTCAGACTCAACTCTGGACCATGCGAAGCCGTACTTGCTTCAAAGTTCATGGGACCTCCGAAATCAGCTAGGGTCCTAGGTCTAGGATTATCGCTCATGCGATTGAAACTGCTCACAAGTCCACCGAAGGCCGTCTGTGTCACTGTACGTGTACATGTCACTTGTACGTGTACATGTCTGCGTGTGCGAAGTTTCTGTTGATCTTAGCTCTCTTGATACATACATAAATACATACATACTTACTTACGTACTTACGTACATCCATGCATGCATGCATGCAAGCACACATCCGCACTTCTGTAGCCCGCAAGGAAACTTTCGAACCTCAAGCTCCTCTTTCCCACACCGCGTGGCAGCGGCAAGTGGCCGAGCCCTGGCACGGCTCCGGGTGGTGACGGCGGCGACGCGAGCAGGGTGAGGCGTCGGATCCGCCGTGCTCCTGTCTGTGCAACGTTCAGGATTTAGGACCTAGCGCTTTGAGGCTCAAGGGTCTGGAGCTTAGTGCGGACACGGCGTGCATCCTCATTTTCAGAATCACCGTTGTCGGCATCTGGAGATGTCGTGAAAGGATTCGTCTGGGTGCAGCCCCTGCCAACACACTGAGAACGGCACAATCTCAAGGTCTATTGAGACGTGCCAAGCCGCCTCTTTTTCAAGCATGCGACATGAAACTGAATGACAAGCTGCGACGTACCTCAAGGCGTTGTTTGTACATGAAGAAGAAAGGACTCTTGCTACCAACTCCTGAGGCTCCGTTACTCCCCAGGGCCTCGACATCGGTGTGCCCTGCATGTGGCTGTGCCGTGGGTGCTCAGCGCGAGACCCAGGCTCCTCAGCTTCAGAGATTTGAAGGCTCGATTCATGTCGGATGCGGGAACTTGTCCACAACACGAGCATTCAAGCACCGAGTCAACTATGGTGTAGGATTGACTGGCATATGCTGCAAAGGTATTCATATGTACTGCTCTTCCGCGAGCCATCACGAGCCACCGCGAACCACTGCGAAGCAACCACCAAAACCCACCATCTAGGCTCAGTGCCACCGAAATTTCGAGCTGAAATAATACACATCGACCAATTAATACTCATGAATACTCACTTTGACGGCCACGACTGACCCAAACAGCAAATTCATCAGCCAGATTGAGAAGCCCTCCAAGTCATGCACGACATATGAACAGCCTGACGACAAGTCTGCATCAGACAGGAGTGAAACCACACTTCACATTGATGAGACATATGAACAGCCTGTCAAGCTGACAGACCGTCAAATCGCCCCGGCTGTGTTTTGTCGTTTTTGCCATCTTCCCCTACTTTTTATCGCCAAAAGCAGTACCGAACCTGATCTGCCACGGCAAGCGTGGAGGGTGGGTTCCAAAAACACCATTGCCTACTCACGATCGCGGCTCGGGGACTTCACAATTCTCCCTGCTTGATGTTGAAGCTTGGGACATCTTGGGACTATGCAGCCAGGATCGGAGTACGCCTCGCTCGAGTGGGCAACGAAAGACGGCTCCAGGAATGGGGATCACGCAGCTTTGCTTGATAACCCTGGCATGCGTGCACAACCTATGTGCTGAACATGACGTCAAAATGCACGACTTCCCATAGCCTGCGTCGCTGAATGTAAGTATTGGCAATGACTCTTCATCTGAAGTACGAAATCCGCGTTCCGCGTTCGGGAGCCGAGTCTCCCAATTGCCACTTTGTTACAGCGCCACTGCCGCCCTCCTGGAGGCACCTGTGAGGTTGCATGGAAGCCTGACCTTCGATCAAGCTGGCATGCAGCTTTCTCTGCAGCCCATAGCTTTTGCGTGCGATCTCTTATCCGGGCCTTCGTGAAGGCCGCTACACGGGTGCATGACGGCGGGGCCATGGCAGTCGGTGCAAGTGCCACGTCCGTCATCATCTAGGGCTGCCTAGGGTGTAGGATTCAGGGTTCGAGGCTTAGCGGCATTTGCCATAAAGAGAGGAGACGACACTATGAGCTGCAACAAACGGCGTGCTTGACCATGGATTTGCTTCTTCTGATCCACGGTGACAGTTGTCACTGAGACACTGAGAGGGGTCTTCATCGAACAAAATCACACATCGTGGTTCACCATGTCATCAGCGTGCCGTTTGCATGATTGGACATTAGTTGTCTAAACCCTCTCAGCCGGCAGGGCCTCGTGGGGAAAGCTCAAACGCCAAGGTTCATGGCTCCCACAGACACCTGGATGTTCGCCTGGCGCCGAAAGCTCAACATAGGAGAGACTGCCGCGGTTACATCCTCCCTTCTCAGCAAGACATCCCTTCGCACCCTGAACCCCGAAATCACTAACCCCAAATGTCCAACCCCTAAACCAAAGTAGATGCAAACATGATCACAAAGGGGTGGGGCACACGATTTGTTGGATCGACCTGTCGGGGAGAGGGAGACATCATGAACAACAGCAAGTGAGTATGTTTCTTCTTGGTGCTACTCTCCGGGGGCACTACGGCGGGCAGATAGAGTACATGACGGAGAAACCCTAAACTTCAGAACGCGGCTAGCAGCCTTCTCTCCATGAAACGGGCACGACATCGGCCCAGATGATGAATTCCTAAAGCCTAAACTCGCAACGCCAAACTTTGCAAGCCTGAAACCCAAACCCCAAACCATGATTTTGGAGGTATCATAGGGTTGAAAGATAGATGCACATTGACACTCTAAAGCCTGACCGGCCCTGCCGCTTGGAGGACTGGTGCCCGGCCTTCTTGGGCGGAGCCTTGCCACCTCAAGGGCTCTCTTCAGGCATCGATGGGGATATAGGCTTTAGGCTTTAGGGTTTAGGGGCTCTTAAGGCATCAATGGGGGATCCTGGGGACATGAAGAGATCCTTTAATGAAAGACTGGGGATCGGATCCTGATGAAGGCTCGGGGCTTTTCGCCTTTGGGGTTCTTCAGATATTGAGAGTGGAAGGTCAGGTGTCAGAATTCAGGGAGTGATTGCACGATCCGGGGCGTGGGTTCAAAGGCTACGGGGTTCGGTTTCGGGATTCGGCTTTCTCGAGCCATGGAGGAGTCAGGATTCAGGAGCTTTGGGCTTGGGGTCAGGATCCCTCAACATCGCCGCCGAAGAGAAAAGCACTTGCTTGTCTTTGGGGTTTGCGATCAGCCCAGAGGGCCATCGGCTTTCAAGGTCCGAAGAGAAAAAGCTCCGATGTTCGTAGAAGCCGATTCCTCCAGTCCGGTCCTAAGCATCTCTTGACCTCCGCACCCTTGGCCCGACACGAAAGCCTAAAGCCCAAAGCCCTGGCCTTTCTTTGAAGTCTCAGAGCGCACCTTTCGACCACGCTGCCTCGGCTGCGGCTGTAGTGACCGAATCTATTCGCCATGATTCTCCGACTTCGGCGAGTGCCCAGCGAACTTACAAACTCTCTACTTGCTGCCAAGTCGACACAGACTGGATCTTCGTGGCTGCTTCGGCACCTCAGTCACTCACTATCAAACAGGGCTTTAGAAACTAAACCCACCCGCATAAGCAGAAATATGGCGGAAGAAGGGTTTGGGATCTAGGGCTCGCGGAAGTCTTTAAAGGTCGGCGTGAAACTGGAGCTCTTGCCAACTCACTCAGGACACGCGAGGGTGTCACGGGAAGAGTTGTTACGACCAGTCGCAAGTCCCCTTGCACCACGTGAGGAAAGATGACATGCACAGATACAAGCTCTCAACCTTCGTGAAATCAAAGAGCCTTGGGCAGGGTGAACCTTGACAGGAGCCAGACTCTTCTCACTACCAGTCTCACTTGTACCAGTGTCGTCATGGTAGCAGTACTAGTAGACACAACAGCAGCAGGCAGGCACTACTCATAGAAGCCACAGCAGCAGCAGCAGCAGTAGTAATACTACTAGACGTGGGGACTTGTAGTTGCAGTCGTTCTCCGTGCCGTCTTGCAATCGTCTTGGCAACCGTCGTATCAGTCGTTGTCGTCGTCACACTAGTAGTTGTAGGGAAAGGAGTCGGAGTCGGCATCGAAGTATGAGTCGGAGCAGGGGTAGTAGGAGTAGAATGGAGGAGTAGTACAGTAGAAGCAGCAGTAGGTCAGTAGGAGTCGTAGCAGTGGTCGTTCTAGCAGTTTAGCATCAGCATCTGAGTAGTAGCAACATTACAGCCGCTGAGTAGTAGCAATATTGCAGCCGCAGTAGCAATGCAGTAGTGCCGGCAGCAGAAGCAGCAATAGCAGCAGTTTCCGTAGCCATAGCCACTGTGGTAGTTATAGGCGCTGCACATCGTCACTGCTGCAGTAGTGGAGGCAGCAGTGTTTTCCTACTGCTGTATCCTCAAAAATCTTTCTAGCACTCGCGATTACCAAATCGAAAACCCAAGATCAAACACCCAACAAACACCAAGCCCCACAATCAAATTCTCAAACCCGGCAACTTCAGCCAGCGAAGCTTTTGCTACAATCGGCCAAGCGCAAGACATCGGGGGGGTGACAAGACTTGGGGCTTGACTGCGTAGAGGAGATTAGGATTAGGGCTTGGGGCTGGGGTTCAGGACTTGGGTTAAGGATCCGGCGCCTCTGCTCTAGGAAATGCAGCTACAGGTGTCTGGTGAAAGTCAGAACCCTGTTCAGGTGGTGAGCTGCTCCAAACAGAGTCCTTGCAGAGTACAACACTGCAAATGTCCGACAAACACTTCCTATGCCAGCTTGAAGAAGACTGAGCTGCATCAGATTACGGTCAAAGGACTCTGAAATTGAGGAACGCCCAGATGAGGGTCGATCAGTACACCGAGAAGCGGCTCTTTGCGAATGCCGCTGTTGTGTTGGGCCTGGTCACTGTGGAAAACGACAGACTAGCTGACTAGCAGCAAACATCTTCTCGTCTTCACCGAAAGCTGCTGAGGATCCAGGTGGGACCATGGGTTGGTGAGGGACACTTCGATTCAAGCCCTTTGAATGGGCGACCCTCTGGTGTGAGACATCACATTATCTGCTTAACTCTCAACCGCGTTCCGAAACTGTTGGAATTGCATCACCGTTCCGCTGACGCGAGGAACCGGACCCTAAGAAGCATGTTCAACCCTCAGCCCGGAAGGCTCACAAAGGGCGCTCTGGTCTTCAGCAGAAGCTGAAATCCTGCCGCTGCACCTGTTTGGATTCGAATTTGCACTTCAAACACAATCATAAAGACATAAAGACATGCATCTTGTTGGTGCTGGCCTTCTTACTACTTACGCTCGCTTCAGGCTTATGGCCGGGATGCCGAGGTCTTCGGCTCTTGCTTGGAGTCTTGTGAGCAAGGTCTGACCACTGCCTTCTGAACAGGTCGTGTGGGTCTTTCTACTCTATTCCGCTTCGAATCTGATCAAAGGTTACAAGCACACCTTTCTTGGAAAACCCTCCTTCTCCGAGGTTAGGCGTGAGGGTGTGCGAGTTGAGGATTTTAAGGCCGAGGGAGCCTGGGTTTAATATGCTGTGAGGTGCAGGAGCTTCAGGCTTACCGCCCCGCGTCAAGCCAAGGACCAAAAAGCATCATCCTAAGTAGCAAGACTATAGCGAGTGCTGGCAAGACTAATGATGAGCAAAAGCAGCGACGTGGTATGTCAACCGACCAGAAACCTTAAACCTTAAATATCTCAGGCACTGGGCCCGAGCCTTTTGAATGGTTCGGGCGTCCTGGATACTCAAGCCGCGTCTTGCACGGACACCCGGCTTCGGGGTGGCTTTCGTTGGCATCACATGTGTAGCTTTACGAAAGTCCTTAGTTTCAGGGAGCCGGAGCTTTGGCCTTCGAATTCAAAGAGTCTCAAGTTTAAAACCTTGGGATCCACGATCATCAGAATGCTCGTTTGGGGAACTACTGGAATTCCTCGCGGCTTTAAGTGGTGAGGGAATGCTGTTGGCGAGTTGTATGAATGCGACTGCGCCGGGCCTGCCATTTTGGACGACCGAACAGCTTGAAGTGTAAGAAGGCCAGCAGGGACAGAGACAGCCTCGACACTCGTCGTGCAACTCATGCTTTAAACCTGGATGCAGAGGCTAGTTTGACATGTGTACTGTCACTGTTGCTTCCAAAACTTTAGATGCGCCCCCAGGAGCAGGTAGACAAAAAGAAAGGCTGGATGCATCGTCAGACCAAAAGCTTCCACTGCCCCTGCTGCGAAGGTGTCAAAATAAAGCAGGAAGCTATAAGTAAGCACTCCCACGCCGAATGCTGCTATGCCCGACAGCACTGCTGGTCCGGCAGCAAGCCAGTTCATCGCTCGGAGCAAGATAGGATGAGCCATAGGCAAAAAGATTGCACCGAGGCTGCAGTACTGGAGCATCGTGATCATCAAATACTGCTCGACGGATTCGAACCCGAGCTTGTCGAAGTTGGGTCTCGCAGCCCAAGACAAGCCAATGAATCCGAGGGTATGTGGCAGGCAGGTCAGTGCACAGATCGTCCAGGGCAGGTCTAGCTCCCCTCCGAAGTCCTCGATGATGGCTTTGCGAAGATCCATTCGTATGTATTCCTCGGTCCAACGGTCTCCCGTCGTCACGCTGTCACATTCCACATCTTGCTGCTTCAACATGACTAGAGGCTGTGTGGCTGTCGCTGTCGCTAAAGCTGTGACTATCGCTATTCAGTCAACGCTCGCTCTGCACATTCTTCAATCATCACAACTCACTCGTGGAAACAGACTTTTAGTTCTCATGTCTGGCTTCTCACGACTAGGTCTGGACCTAGTGCGTGTTGCGTATGTATGCCGGCCTCTTGCTGCTCTTAACTAATTTCTCACACTACTAGTCCAGGTAAGCCCATGTGCACGGACTGCCACTGAAATTGCATTAAAATGGAAAGAGTGCGCTTTCCACACCGCTCCAACTACTGCGACATCGACCACGATCACGATGCAGGGAAGCACGGCGAGCACGAGCTTGCTTGGTAGGCATAGTTATTACTAGGACACCACACATTGGGTCCTTCTTTCGCGAACACTGCTGTCCTAGACCTTGAAGCACTCGAGGGAGAGAGCCAAGGCTCGTTGAAGGACTTGAGGCAGGCTTCCAGGTCGGGGTAGCCAGTCGCAGCACGCGCCGCCAGGCGATTGGCGTGGGAAAGGACCTGGCGACGGCGAAAGCGCTGCGACTAGTCAGCGGATGGTTTAAAGGGCCTCAGGGGCTTCGGCCGGGGTTCTGGCTTTCGTGCGTGGGCAGGTCAACCCTTCTGGGATTGCTGGCAGCACAGACAAAAAACAAATGCTAAAGACAAGGAAGGCTCTGGGTCGTTGCTGTGGAGCAGTGCCACCTCATCGTCCCAGCTCTCACATGTGCTGTCAGTATCGAGTGCTACAGACACCGTGGGCTCCTCAAGTCCATCGAAGAGCTCAGCGACCTGCATCTGAATGGTGCTGCGGTCACTCTCAAGAGCACACTTCGCATCCCGAATGTCGAACGATCGCATGTTCTCCAGCATCAGCTTGTGCCCCTCTATTTTTCGCGGGAAAGAGATAACACTAATTATCACAGAGGGAACATAGAAGACGAGGTAGTCCTGGCAGTCCTGCAAATAAGACAAACAACGCTGCAGTCCCCATTGAAAGGCATCCCCGTGGACAGCACGGTAGGTCGCGGTGTCATTTACGCCAGAGTCCGGAGCACAGGTAACGGCAATTGCCAGTAGCCGTGCCCCGATGTAGGCAAACAGCATTTGGCTAAGCAGCCAGGGCGGCAGCCACAGAGGCACGAAGCGTAACCCCTTGAGACCACGGCACTTCACAAAGATCGACAACTCCAGCATGCACCACAGACCTTTGGCCAAATTTCATCTTGTTGCGGTGCTTTCAAGCACAACTAGATGGAATGCCAACTGCTTAGGAAAGATCAGGGAGAAACCTCCGGACCCTGAAGGTCAGCTTCACGGTTTGTCAACTTAGTCTACTTCTACCACCATGTTGAGCTTGCTCAGCAGACGCCAAGGCACGATTGAAGTAAGTCTGATCCCACAGCATCAGCAGCTGCGAAGAGCAGGCCACGAATGTAGGTAGGCCCTGTATGCCCTTGGACTTGTGTAAGGGGTCCGTCTGGTGAACGCAGAGCCTGCAAAGGCAAAAGCACCCGCGAATAACAACCGTGAATATGCACCTAGTCAACGAATGTCAACCACAAGGAGGAAGAGCTGCGCTGGATATCAGTCGAGTAAGAACAACCAGATACGACATCCACATGTCAGCAACTAGATGCACATGTGACATGGTAAGCGACGAAGCAGCAATTGGGAAGACATTGCTGTGCTGTGCCTCGTAGATGCGTAACTCCCCAAACTTGATCTGCGACAGCGTACATGTATCTAGGTACTACTGCTGCTGCAACTACCAGCACTGCTGCGGTAGCTGCAGCCGCTACGACGACGACGATAACCACAACCACAACCACAGCCACCGCCACAGCCACAGCCACCGCCACAGCTGCCACCGCCACCGCCACGGCCACGGCCACGACTACGACCAGGACCACCACCACACCCATAGCCAAGTAGCTGTACCATTACCATAACCATCTTGCTGCTGATGCTCATGCATGGGCACACGACTTGGTTGCTCCTTGCCTGTCGACCCATAGGTTGGGGCACCAAAGCCCACAGGTAAGTCGGTGCCCAAAAAAGAAAGAGATGAGGAAGGCGAGCATGGGAATGTCCATCACGGCGAAGTACATCACCTGAGTTTTGGAAGTCCAACCAGAAGGGCACAGAATCGATTGCCATCGCCTCCAAAACAGAACCAAAACCTATTCCTGCGATGCTTGCCTTAGACGGACACAGTTATCCGGCTCAGGGCCGGCTGTAGAATTGAGGATACCATTTTGGGCACAAGGTCCCGTCCGATGGGTAAGTGTTCAAGCCCTTGTAAGACAAGTGGCACTGAGGGAGGGATCTGGCATTGATGCCACAGCAATCTCCGAAAGGATGACGGCCGCAATTGTCGCTTTGATAGCTATGCCTAGATTCCTCGGCTGCTTCGTGTTGATGGTTAGGCTTGCTTTCGGGCTTCAACGTTTTGGGCTGGGGTGGATGCTTCAGGAAAGTTCGAAATTTCACTCGAACTTTCTCGCTCTCAAGCCTGAAACCCGAAGCCCTGTAACGAAAGCCAGCTCCTCCAATCCAGAATCCATAAACTTCCACTGTGAATCGTGGCGCTGTAGGTGCAGTCTCTCAGCTCAAGGGCTGGAGCTTCGGGGTTTCAGTCTAAAGCTTTGTGGGCTGGGGAAACCAGAAACATTCAATCGAGACACACATGCTGCACGAGGAGAACACAAGACCATAACAGCGTTGGTTACATGAAATGACGATTCTGTGACGCTGCCGGGCTTGCTCCCCGAACTGTCGAATCAACGGACCTGATGGCATTCATGATAGCTGGCACGATTCCCTGGTAGCAAACATAGCCACAATGACCTCCAGCTGATTGACAGTCGTCAGTCGAACGGCACTACGATGACGTGTTTATGACACCACTATTTTCAAAATCCTGTCCATGGCTCAGAAAGAAGCACATTGCCAGCAGCTTCGCCCAGCGATCGGCTGCCCAGGAGTGGCTGACGAACACGTCAACACTGGTAACTTTCCTCGTGCTGCTAAGCAATGTGTTTTGCGCGCAATTAAACTTGAACAACTTACGGAAATTTCAATGAGTATTGTGACGACAAAGTGCCAGCAGTGCATGATGCCGTCCAGGGCTATGGCGACTTGCGGTGAGGAGTGGAACTCTGAAACAGTGCCAGGCACATGATCATCTACTGCTTGCAAATTTGGATTCTGCGGCTGATTTATGCTGGTGTGGGGTGGTTTCACGTATCCAGGCTCCTGTATTCTGAGTGGCTGGGACTTCACTTCGCCGTTGCAGCTGGAGGCTGATCTGCCAAGCGTCGCAGTTTGGTAGAAGAGCTCCTGGTCAACCGTCGTCTGCTCCTGGCAACATCATGGAATGTTTTGTCCCAATATGTGATGTGCCAACATACTGCGAAGGCACCTCCAAGGCAGTTTAGTCGAGGGCAATACCCACCCCGCTGACGAGATCCATAACCGTGCCACAAAGAGACACAGAGGCATGATCACAGGAGGAACTTCGGTTTGTCGACACGAAGCGGCTGAAGTCAGAAGATGAGAGAGAACGAGAGAGAGAGAGAGACAGAGAGACAGAGAGACAGAGAGACAGAGAGACAGAGAGACAGAGAGACAGAGAGACAGAGAGACAGAGAGAAAGAGAGACAGAGAGACAGAGAGACAGAGAGACAGAGAGACAGAGAGACAGAGAGACAGAGAGACAGAGAGACAGAGAGACAGAGAGACAGCGAAAAAGAGAGGCAGAGAAAAAGCGAACCAGAGAACAAGAGAGACAGAGAAAAAGAGAGGAAGAGAAAAATCGAGTGGCCAAGAACCTCTTAGTACTGGGGGGGAAAACGCCTCCACAAATGGTGTCTACAGTCATTCAAAGTTCCAGCAGTAAGCCGCTCTTCGAGCCTTGGGGGATGTGCGAGACCCCCCCCCCGGCTGCAAACGCTCCAGAAGGTCCGGCACTTCTGTTAGACGTCGCGGTGTCTTCCGGATCCTCGTCTCTTCGGTTGAATACTGTAATTGAGGCCCAACTCACAAAAAGTCGGGAAGGATCTCCGGGCCTCAGGCTCTCCACAGGCTTTCAGCGAAGCTCGGAGCTCCTCGGCTGTGGCGAAGGCCCTGCCCCAACTGGACAGCACCAGCTTCGCCGAGGCCCCCCGGAAAAAGCCTCTCCGAGCAGCCGGGGCGGATCCGAAGCGAAGCCGCATACGGATCTTCATAATTAGAATCGGGTTGGGACAGCGAGTTGGTAATTCTCCAGGCGTTTGTATTATCCCGTCCGAATCTCGAATCCCGACACCGCCTACATCAGAGTCAGCCAATCAACATGCGAGTCATACAAGCAGTAGCAGGCTTAGGAACGTGCGCTTCCCGGATTTTGAAAGACTCATTCCTTGAAAGCAAGTCACATTTGCATTACAGCCGAAGCTGCCAAGCGCGAACAGAAGCGAAGAAGTTGAGTGGTCATCAAGATTCGAACCCCTTAGCACTTGGGTGTCTCAATGCCAGAAGAATGGACACCAGACCTCATTGCAGAATTTGAGACGCCCTCTAAGCCGCAGCTTGAGCCTTCAAACCCACAGCTCCCTCTTCAATGCCTTCCTGGCAGAGCTGGTCTGACCGGCTGCGCAAGCGATGCATAGCGACGGCGACGGCCCCCGGGAGTCAAACACTCCCGGGAGCCTTCGAGTTCGGGTTCTTTCTTCGGCTTTGGGTGTTGTTTCAAACAAGGGTTCGGTGCTGTGGGGCTTAGGGCCTTTACAGGGTCTTTGTGCTGCACGGCTTTCGGGTTAGAAGCTTAGAATATCTTTACCCTTGATGCTTCAAGAGCTTTTGGTTTCGGGGTTCTTGTGGCTTTGTAAACCCTGAGGCCAGACTTTTCCCCCCCGTTCGGGGTCAAGACGGCCTGTGAGACACAGCGTCGTGTTGTGTGTCAAGGATCTGTAGGACCTTGGGTTGAGCTTGGGTACGTGTGCGAGGCATGGGTTTAGGCGACCGGGGCGTACAGGATTTCAAATCATGGGGCTGGTGAACTAACAGCCTGAATCCTGTTATCGTGGACCATGTGATGACCCTACAGACGATGTTCAGTCTCAGTCACCACCGCTCTATTGCGACTGGGCGGTTTGTGCCCCCTCTCGTCAGGTCCAGGTCCAGGCGGGTTGAAAACTTTCAAGACAGGGTCGGACAGGGTGCAGAAAAGCAGATCAACAACACGAAGCGATTCTGTAGACTGTAGACCTACACAGTACTATCACAGCAGTTCTGTCACGGTCTGCACCCTGCACCTAACTGCCTGATTCCTGCATCAAGGAGCCGTTTGGCAAGCGCGGGATTTTCCCCCTGAGCCCGTCCTGCGGCGAGAGTAGCATCCCCTGTCAAGACCAACGCGCGGCATGACCAGCAGCAGTACCATCACTAACGGATTACTAGTTTCTACTACTTGCGGAGGTAGCTGACACGGAAGACTAACCAACAAACTCAGCGACAACAGCAGCGGCGGCCAACACTAAAACTACAACGACCGCAACAGCAAGCCAAAACCCACTTCTGAAACAGCAATAACGACACTACTTTGTTAGAAGATGTAAACAGTATAAACGCAGTGCGTGCCGCAACAAGTGTGCCAATCAGCACGAAGACCTGCCCTAGCTGAGCCACGTGCAGGACCAGATCATTGCAACAAATACAGCAGAAGGGTACCCCAGCCATAATGACCCGAGCAACTGGAATCTTGTTCAAGGGCGTGTAGCCGAACTTCCGAATTAAGCTACCCGAGCAACCAGAGTGAAATACTGTGGAGCCGTATGTACCAAGCATAACAGAACAAACTACCTGGGCTTCCTGAAGTAATGTACGTAAGTAGCCACTCCTCATAGAAGGAGTGGTAGCAACAGCACTCAGGACAACAGGAACGCCTAGGGGATCCCAATCTAGCGATTTGTCTCACAAGCTTTCATGACTATGCAATCAGCTTCCAGGGCGCATTGCATGTCCCGTGGTCTACGAGCTTCGGCTTCAAAGCTGTCTTGAGCTCTGCAGCTCTTGGGATTGGGCGAGGCTCACACTCTCAGGTTGTCACGGAGGACTCAGCAAAAGATTGGCGCGTGCAAAAGCAGAAACCCAATTAACGTTGATGAACCCGAAAGCTCATTGTCAGACGAGACACGATCGTGATCCGCTGCTTTCGGCCCTCTGGCCAGGATGCATCAGAGTTGTATGCGTTAGAGTCAGGGTATTCGGGCTTTGGGATCACCAAGTCCAGTACTGAGGTATTCGTGGGCACGCGGGGACTTCCGCGCAGCAGCTGAGGATGAGGGATGGGCTGGACTCTGCTACCACAAGTTCCTTCCACGCACTATTGGAAACCCCAATCGGTTGCCAGCCTCCCGCTTCTTTGACCGCTCCAGGTGTCTGTGATTCAAGCACCAGGTCCTGCAGAAAGAGGAAGTTTGGACTGACTGCTTGTGAGCAGGGAGAGGGGCTTAGCGTAAAGGGACCGAGGCTTGCAATGCTTGGCGCTATGGGGAATAACTCGCTGCCCCGCTTTGAGGGATCCACCCCGATGGCCCGGCCCTTCGGCAGAGTGCACACGACACCCGCCAGCAGCCTAACACTGTGGGTCTTAAGGCCTCAGAGCACCTCGAGGTAGCCTCGGAAGCTGGTGCTCCCGGCACTAGGATCTCTCAGCTTCTCAGCTCCAGCATGTGGCAATGTGGCAGAAAGCCTCATGCTTCTTCACCAAAGCAGATACCAACTCCAGAGAAGCCAAAACTTGATCCTGAGCGCACATCAGTAATCTATGTGGTTTAGAGCCAAAGCGAGCCCTCGGCAAGGGAATTTCTCCTAGAACTGCTCACCGAAACTTCACGAACACCCGGAGCGCCTGCTTCGCCTTTCTCGCTTGCTGCACCTACCAAAACCGGTCACAAACGTCTTCTGAAAGGACCCTGCGGCCAAAAAGCAACAACACAGTTTCTCATGCCATCGTCATGCTACCTGCGTGACGTGCCTTCTGCCTAAACTCTGCTCGGGCCTTGGCTTCGAGCTCCTCGGTTCGCAGCTCCTCCTGCTTTGGCTTTCGGCTCTCCGACTTTCTAGTGCTCGGGCAAGGCCCCCTTTGGGGCGATGCTTGGGGCTTAGGGTTTAGCCGTCTAAGCCTAAACTTCGAGCGCTTTCCAGAGAAGTTGTGAGCGAGACATCTCCATCCACGAAGCTTACACCCCGAAACCGTCAGCCTCTCATCGACCCCAAACATCCGATAATACCCTCGTCCGCATGCCCAAGACCCAGCGTGGCTCTGTTGATCTGTTGCGGTGCGGCTCCTCCTTGCACTCTGCGAGCAACTCCTCCGCTCGCCTTAAGGCATCTGTGCACGACTTGTAGAGATTGCGATCTAGTAGCAACACCCACCCACCCCCTTATCTCGGACGAACGAGAATGGCCGAGAATTGCCCTACGATTCGATGCGACAATGCAGCCTGTAACCCTCACCAGTAAATCCTGAATGGTCATCCAGTCCAGATCCCTCAACCTTCTTGACCCTGCAGTCCTCTGCCTCCTCCGAATGGGAAAAGCAAACAAGGAGCAGCTGCAGATTAAATCTTCTGAAGTGGCTCTTCTTGAAGCTTTGCTACCCCTCAACTCTCAAGCCTCGAAACGGAGCCCAGGCCTCCGCCTGGCCTTCAGCTCCTCCCGCTGAACCGCGGCTCGCCGCGCGGCCTCGTGGTCGGAGGCTCGGAGTTTAGCGGCTTAGGGCCTAGGGCTTGGGGTTGGGCTTGAGGCCCGAGTTAGTTGGAATAGTTATCTAGCCCCAAAGAGAACTCTAGATGCAACGCTTGCACGACCTGGCTCCTGAGAAACCAAACTCTCTGATGACACTTGCGAGTTGAGATCACCATGGAAACTGGACGAACCGAAGGGTGCACCCGTGGAAACAACCGGACTTGCGAGTTGTCTGCTCACATGGTACCAAAATTACCCATGCATTTTGACATCGTCGAGCACACGCTTCGAATCTCCATGAATTAGGTGCTTCAAGAAATGCGTTTGGTAAAGCCCAGCTGAATTACTCCGTTCACGGAGCTGTTGCAAACGGGCCTACAGGCCTCAGCAGCTCCGAAGCTCAAAACAATATCACCAGGAACACCATCGACTCACCAACGCGCGATATAGTACCAAAAACCATTGCAGAGCCACTGCAAAGCGAGTGCTTCTGCGCCTCCTCCATCTCCGCCGACTGCTGCTGCAGTCGCCGCAGCTCAGCCTCCTCCTGCTCAGGTCCACCGGTCACGATTTCACAATGCGCAACACGTTCACCCCGCGCAGTTTGAGGAAAGCTCTTCGACACACGGTCCGCAACCTCAGAACGTGCGGAGGCGGCTGCTGCAGTGCGGCTCTCTTCCTCCAGCACCTGGGTAGAGCACGAAGCTTGTGGCTCCGTCACACATGGGCGACTAGTCGAGGTACACAACACATGAGGGCCTCGCCTTCTCTTTCATTTCCGCGCACGCTGCCTGTGCGGGCCACGCTAGCTAGACAGTTACGACAATCCTCGAACGGCTACTCGAAGCCCTCGCACTTCCGTTCGTTCTTCTACGCAACATGAAGGCATCTCTCGACGTCTCCCGTACAAACATCCAAACCGCAACTATCGGAAAATCTCGTGAGCATCCTCTCTTCTCCACCCTCTCTTGCCCTGCAAAGCCCTCTAGACTCTAAAGAGGACTCTATCTATAGCTTCTGTGTTCCACCGCCTCAGTCTCCGCGCGGCGATGCGCCGCAGCTTGAAGCTCGGCCTGCGAGGGCTCAAGGGAAGTTCGAAGAGGCGGCTAGGCACCTGACCTCAGGATTACGAAGGGATGTACAATGTACAGGGCTTGCGTGCCGTTTCCTTCGGGCCTCTGCTTCAAGGCGCTGCTGGGTGGCTGCTTGCATGGCTGCCTGCACAGGCAGCGGATGGTAGCGGACTGCTTCAGAAACAGACGGGACAGGGGTTTCCGTTCTCATGTAGCAAAGTCTTGGAGCTTCAGAGTGCGATTTCCTCGGTTCTTAGACTGGGAAACTGAAGTGGCATGAGCAGCGGCTTCCCGAAACCTTCACACACTGCCACGCTCGCCTTGGCTGCTTCCGCTTCTTCGTGCCTTGCATGGATGCTCGGCACAAAATGGGATTGACGGCTCGAGAGATGTTCGATAATGCGCAAGCTTACTCCACGCCCTGAGGTCCTAAACTCCTTAACAGCTCCGCTTCTCAAAACAGAAGCTCTGTAAAACTAAACTTGCGGCTGCAAACTCCTTCTGAACCGCAAGATCTACTCTAAAACCTGCAAAATGCAAAAGGCCCAGGCCCCCAACCTCACGGCAGAGACCACGCTTTGAAGAGCGACATCACGAATCCTGCACCCCAAACCTCGTAACTACACCGAAATAAGCGTGCTCAACAAGCCGAGCCCCACAAACCGGCACCAGAACTAACACTTGGGCGAGGGACGCCATGGCCGCTTCTTCCTTTGCCTCCGAAACTTCGACACAAGGGGGGCTTGCGAGGAAGGGGATCGAAAGGCTTTTAGGCTTGGCTCTCAGGTTCCGGGGTCGGAGAGCTCAGACCCCAGAAGTTGGATTTAGTTGCCGGGTTTGGGGTTGTGCTTCAGTGCTTTGGGCTTGCAGTTCAGGCACCGCCAGTCTGGGCGAAGGCCTCACTTGCACATGTCCAGCGGAGCGTCAAACCGCAAAACCCTGCAGTCCTGACTGGGAAACTTCCAAGCAAACGTAAATGAACTAGCAAGAAATCGAGAAATTCCCGCATAGATGCAATCTTGAAGCATTCTTTCGATATGGCCACCGAGACTTGACACAATAACAACCCACGAGCACAGGCACTGCCAACAATTGCAACTTCCTATTTCTTCGGGCGTTCGAACAGTGGCAGAGCTATCCTGAGGAGGCATCCATAAGATTGACCAAACCAAGTTTGGCGGCCGAGGCTGCAGTAATTCGACAATGCAGTATACGAAGGCCTTGAGAAGTCAGTGTACGAGGAAGCTAGCAACAACGATTAAAACGTCGATTGTCGTTACGAACATGCAGAGTATCCTGCGAAGATTGACGTGTCTTCCAAAAGGCATCCTTGGCAGAGAGTTCGGTACCATAGCAAACAACCATGCATTTATCAAGCCCCGGCTGCCTGAATGGTGAGGACGTCGGCGGATTTCTTGTCTGCCGCACCTTTTCGAACAGCTCTGCCGCGCTGAATTGCCTGAATCTTGGCGGCTGCTTCTTCGCGCTGCTGCTCCGTTGCATCCCCGGCAGCTGGCGTGACATCCCTGCTGTCGCTGGCCGGGATGCGGAAAGCTGCCTTGCCTTCTGCATCTTTTCGGGCAGCTCTGCCACGCTGAAGGGCCTGAATCTTGGTGGCGGCTTTCTCCCTTTGATTTGCATCGCTCTCGACACCATTGTCTATCGAGCTGCCAGCTGGCGGCGCAGATACCTTAGCATCGCGACTTGTCGGAATCCGGAAAGCACCCTTCTTCTCTGCTGTGTCCTTCCGAGCGGCTCTCCCGCGTTGGATGGCCTGAATCTTTGTAGCTGCTTCCTCTCGCCTCTGCTTCTCTTCGGCCAGCTGTTTCCGAGCCGCATTGCCGCGCTGGATTGCTTGCACTTTCGTGGCTGCCTCTTCTTGCTCCTTCTTCTCTGTTGCCACCTGCTTCCTCTCCACGTTTCCGCGCCTGATGGCCTGAATCTTTGTGACTGCTTCCTCTCGCTTCTGCTTCTCTTCGGCCAGCTGTTTCCGAGCCGCATTGCCTCGCTGGATTGCTTGCACTTTCGTGGCTGCCTCTTCTTGCTCCTTCTTCTCTGTTGCCACCTGCTTTCTCTCCACGTTTCCACGCCTGATGGCCTGAATCTTTGTAGCAGCTTCCTCTCGCTTCTGCTTCTCTTCGGCCAGCTGTTTCCGAGCCGAATTGCCACGATAGATTGCTTGCACTTTCGTGGCTGCCTCTTCTTGCTCCTTCTTCTCTGTTGCCACCTGCTTTCTCTCCACGTTTCCACGCCTGATGGCCTGAATCTTTGTAGCTGCTTCCTCTCGCTTCTGCTTCTCTTCGGCCAGCTGTTTCCGAGCTGCATTGCCACGATAGGTTGCTTGCACTTTCGTGGCTGCCTCTTCTTGCTCCTTCTTCTCTGTTGCCACCTGCTTTCTCTCCACGTTTCCACGCCTGATGGCCTGAATCTTTGTAGCAGCTTCCTCTCGCTTCTGCTTCTCTTCGGCCAGCTGTTTCCGAGCCGAATTGCCACGATAGATTGCTTGCACTTTCGTGGCTGCCTCTTCTTGCTCCTTCTTCTCTGTTGCCACCTGCTTTCTCTCCACGTTTCCACGCCTGATGGCCTGAATCTTTGTAGCTGCTTCCTCTCGCTTCTGCTTCTCTTCGGCCAGCTGTTTCCGAGCTGCATTGCCACGATAGATTGCTTGCACTTTCGTGGCTGCCTCTTCTTGCTCCTTCTTCTCTGTTGCCACCTGCTTTCTCTCCACGTTTCCACGCCTGATGGCCTGAATCTTTGTAGCTGCTTCCTCTCGCTTCTGCTTCTCTTCGGCCAGCTGTTTCCGAGCTGCATTGCCACGATAGATTGCTTGCACTTTCGTGGCTGCCTCTTGTTGCTCTTTCTTCTCTGTTGCCACCTGCTTTCTCTCCATGTTTCCACGCCTGATGGCCTGAATCTTTGTAGCTGCTTCCTCTCGCTTCTGCTTCTCTTCGGCCAGCTGCTTTCTGGTCCTTTTGCCACGGAAGACTGCCTGTGCTTTCGTAGCTGCCTGCACTAGTTCCCTTTTGTTGGCTTCTACTTGCTGTCTCTCCAAATTTCCTCGCCGTATGGCTTGAATCTTTGTGGCTGCTTCTTCTCTTTTCTTCTTGAGCTCCTTCACCTGTCTTCTCGCGACCTGCAGCTGTAGTGAGCAAGGACTGACCGATCCAAGTACTGCGACAATCTTTGAAAGCTTAGGACTTGAAAGAACATGACTCACTGCCAGCGGCACAACCGAGGAGCCTGTGGCGAGCTGCCCTGTCGTCGGCCCCCGAATTGAGCAGTCTTGTTGTCACTACATCGCCCCCGCCACAATCACCTTCCACATGGGCCTTCTCCTACTAATTTGGGTATTAACTTAAGCGTCAACCTGCCCTGCCCCCTCCAGCTGTCCCGAGCGCACCTTGCCACGGAAAGTTGCCTGTACTTTGATGGATGCCTTTGTCTCCTGGCTGGGATCTCGGGTTATTGTAACTCAGCTTTGACTAGCTGACTAGCTTGGGAGGCTCAGGCAGGTCAATTCCCGCGCAACCCTCAGGATCTCGAAGACCCTGAAGGCAGCCTGTAAACTCGAAAAATCCCAAACCTCAGAACCCAAAACCACAAACTCCAACAGCCCTAAACCGTTCTCAAGCCCCAAACCGAAAGAGCCGAGCACCCCGCTTGCCCGGAATAGCTCCGCCCTCCGCACCACCCGGGGCCTCTTCTCGCCTTCGGCGCAGCGCTGCGAAGCCGCGCCGGGCCTGGCGCCCGCGGAAAGCCGAGGCCAACGTCGTGGCCACCGCCGCCTCAGGCACCGAAGACAAGTCAGGGGCCCTGACACGGACAGATAGACTTAGACAATCTTAGACAGATAGATTCATAGGATATATATATATATATGTCATATGACATTTAGGTACAAGCTTCACGGTGAAAAACTAGTGTGCGGGCGTAGTAGGGATGAAGAGGGCTTGGGCCTTGGGGCTCAAGCAGCTTTAAGGGGTTAAGGTTTCTCGCAGAAGGCTTCAGGACCGTCCTCGCGAGCTAACAGCCACTTAATACCATTGGACCATTATCGCTACCCGCGCCTGTCCTGGCCCTCTTCAAACCGAGCGCGAAGCCTTCCCCCAAGCTCATGAGCTCCTCTTCGAATCTACTACCATCAAAGGAAAAGAAGGGCAAGAGGGAAGGTAGCGAGGTAACGGTAGCGCCCAAGCCCCCCAAACCCCAAAGCCGCATTTGACTCTTTCCGGCGCCTTGCGCCTCTCCGCCTCCTCGGCCCGTTGCCGACGCCATGCCTCCAGATACGGCGTGATATGGCGCAGTGTCGGCAAGAAGACATAACTCTGCACACATGCAAATACATCTACCCGTACATATATTTATACATTGCTATAAATATGTACGAACCTGTCTCTCTCTCTGTGTCTGTGTGTGTGTGTCTCTGCGTGTCTGTGTGTCTGTGTGTCTGTGTGTCTGTGTGTGTGTCTGTGTGTCTCTGTGTGTCTGTGTGTGTCTCTGTGTGTCTCTGTGTGTCTCTGTGTGTCTCTGTGTGTCTCTGTGTGTCTCTGTGTGTCTCTGTGTGTCTATGTGTGTCTCTGTGTGTCTCTGTGTGTCTCTGTGTGTCTCTGTGTGTCTCTGTGTGTCTCTGTGTGTCTCTGTGTGTCTCTGTGTGTCTCTGTGTGTCTCTGTGTGTCTCTGTGTGTGTCTCTGTGTGTCTCTGTGTGTCTCTGTGTGTCTGTGTGTCTCTGTGTGTCTCTGTGTGTGTCTGTGTGTGTGTCTGTGTGTGTGGTGTCTGTGTGTGTGTCTGTGTGTCTGTCTGTGTGGGTCTGTGTGTCTGTGTGTGTGTCTGTGTGTGTGTCTGTGGGTCTGTGTGTGTGTCTGTGTGTCTGTGTGTCTGTGTGTGTGTGTGTGTGTGTGTCTGTGTGTCTGTGTGTGTCTGTGTGTGTGTGTGTGTGTGTGTGTGTGTGTGTGTGTGTGTGTGTGTGTGTGTGTGTGTGTGTGTGTGTGTGTGTGTGTGTGTGTGTGTGTGTGTGAACCTCCCTAGCACATGGGAGCAGAGGGTCACTCCTGTTGGTATTTTGTCACAATATTGTCAACATGTTGATTTCACATTGGCAAAGAACCACAAACACATAAGCATGTTGAGAACTTACAGCAGGGGACCACCGAGGCCTCCGGGGAGCGGTGGTCAACGAAGACCTTCCCGGAAAGCCTGTGAAAACGTACCTGCTTTTTCCACCTTCATTGCATCTGGGGCGGTTGTGCCAGCTGGTGGATGAGGAGGGGAAAAGACGACGAGGACGAGGACAACGACGACAAACTTTTCACATGCATACCACAATCACAACATGCCTCTCTTTTTCCTCTTGCACTCGTACTCTTGGCCGAATCCATCAG